TTTTTTGTGCAAAGGCACACTTTTTTCATGAAAAAAATCACGAGGCACACCACCATTAGAAAATGTTAAAAAAATTTAACTCTGTGCCTATATTACTATATATAAAGTAATTTTCCCACGGCACACCTTACACTATGTCACGGCACACTAGTGTGCCGCGGCACAGTGGTTGAAAAACACTGGTATATACTACAGAAGTACTATGAGTCTCAGAAACAAGTCTGGAAGGAGCAAGTTGCAGCTTTTGGCAAAAACAAGAAAAAAGGAATAACTAAGTTCTTTTTATATATTTTATATATTTTTTACAAGATGGACTGAATTTCAGAGGTTGTGAGGGGGAAAAAAGTTAAGCTCGAAATAATTAGGATGGTTCCGGAATAAAGGAGATTTTATCAGGAGACTCCAACTTGAAGAAAGGAAGATAGATACACATTCCAGAAGGATCACATAACTCTTGCTTTCCCTTGACTACAATCCACTTAAAAGATGCCTCCCAGAGTATTATACTGCAAAATAATGACACTTCGTATAAAATGCATACAGAATGAATTCCTCAAATTACAGCAGTTCTGGATAAACAATGCACAATTTTTCCATTTCATCTCGCTGTTTAAAACTAGTCTTTAAATCTAGGATAAGTATAGTACTGTTTTATTAGTACGGTTTTATTCTAATGGTTTGTTATTTCTTGTTATCTCATTATCACAAGAATAACCCCCAAAATATTATACCTGTTCTGTTTGTTTCCATTTTTGTTCCAAAGCATCAAACATGACTCTACAGAGTTCCTGCACATCATGCTGCTGCCATGCTATTGTAAAACAAAAGTGATATTATTTAATTAATTAATACTGGCATACATCCCATCACAGCAATTTGTTAGCCCGGTTACAAAAGCACATTACACTAAATTTATTTTATTGCTAGTTTTAGAACGGAATTTTTTCTATCTCTCTCATTTTGCTTGACCTCACAATTATTTTCAAACATCAACATTTTTTTAAAAAAATACAGGGATTTAATAATAATAATATCGTTTCCCCCAAAATAAGACCTTCCTGGATAATAAGCCCGATTGGGCTTTTGAGTGCATGCACTAAAATAAGCCCTCCCCAAAAATATTGCAACACAACACCAGCCATGAAGTGACCATTCTCGCTGCCTCCTGCACCTCAATATTAATAAGACCTCCCCGAAAATAAGGACAAGTGCTTATTTTCGGGGAAACACGGTAATAGTAATACTAGATTAATAATAATCCAATATTACACTGTAAATTGTCTTCCTATACTTTTTATTATTCTGTTACTGTGAACTGAGAATTTTGATTAATGCTTTGTAATAAGAATAAGTTATTAAACTTCATTAAATCCATCAATTCTCAACAGCTATGTAAATAAATGCAGAAGTCAATTTTAAACTACTGATATCCTTACTTTTTGAATGCTATTAATCAGAGATATTTGAGATATGACAGCATGTCATATCTGTGGCTTTTTTCTTTCTCCAGTTACACTGGAATGCTAAGGGATTGTTCAATATGTGACCAAGTAGGAGTCATGCCCATGACCAAGTACATAACTGATAATCAAGATACAGACAATGTCAGTCAATATATGTCCTAATATAATTATGATTTAACCAAATTTTTGGTTATCATTACCCTCACTACTATCCCATCCAAAGCTTCGTGTAACATCTGTAGTTTCAATTGCTCTCTTTTTGCTGGTCTGCAGTAAAACAAACAATCTTTGAAGTTGGTAAGGGATGCTTGTCACTGGATCTTCTTCAGAGTCTTCAAATTCCCATCTATTAAAAAAAAAAAACATTAATACCAACAGACAAAAAAAATATTTTAGAGCACCCTGCTCCTAACATTCATTTGTAGTAGAAAGTGATATCTAAAAGGAAAGTTGATATGGAAATATTTCTTCAACATACAATTTGAAAAAAAGCTAAATATATTATATTTATAGCCTCATATTGAATTTTTTTAGAAGAGATAACTCCTGTGCTTGAATATTCAAGTATTCCATAATCATAACATTTTCTAGTATAAATACTATGACATTCATCAAATCATACTGAACTCTTAGAGATATTTTTGCAAAAGTTAACACTACCTACATTCCCAGAGGTGCTTTTTCAAAATACGACTTTGAAAAATCAAAGTCCAGATGCCTTTTGAAAAAGCACTTTTAGGACAGCCATGACCTGAATGACCGAGAATCTCCATAGACATACTTGCATACCTATATTCAAAAATATAACTACACAACCATATAGTGAATAATAAATAAGAACCTACCCCAATTTTAATTGTACTATAAAATAGAGCAAATATTTATAATAAGATTGTAGATAGTCCTTTAAAATCCTTTTATAACAACCAAGATTTTAGTTTTTATAATTATTTTTATGAACCATTTTTACTATTTCTCTGCAATTCTAAACTCTACTATGAATCCTCATTTAAGCTTAAGGGGGAAAAAGACTGCAGAGGAAGTCTCCTTATCAATCACTACATCTGTCCTACAACTAATGACATATCAAATAGTTTTACAAGTATGTTCCAGAAATCCTTGCCTTGAAAACTAATGATATGTCATACTTTGCTTTAAAGAGTAATGATTTGTTAATTGCAGCAGTCTCGCAGGTGTTTAGCAAGATTTTAATAATCCAACAAAAGGCAATAACGAAATTAATGAAATCTATCTACTTACCTATATAATGCATTTCTAAATTCAGGAGTCATATAAAGAGTTTGTAGAAGACTGTTCAAATAACAGGTCATTGCCTGATTTACTAGACCCACATATCCTGAAAAATAGTATAAGATTAGTAATAATGCTCATCTTAAAAAATGAATAAGATTAATATTTAAGAGAAATTAATATTACATTATTGGACATATTTATTATTTTTATTTCAATTTTTCAAAATCAATTTTTTTGCTAATAATATCTACTTAGAACAGCACTTTAAAGCTTTATTGGATATTCAAAAAACACATTTCTTCAGAATTCTGAAACACATACCAGTAGTAAAAACATGACTTAAACAGGACTTCTGAATAAACTATAATACTGGGTTAGAATAATATATTAAATACCTTGCAATTTAGCATCGTTTGACTATCATGTCAATGCTAATTAATTATTTATCCTTATATGCCCGGCAAACAACAACTTAGAAAAAATACTAGATACTAGCAAATTTCATTTCCTTCTAGTATGATTGCATTTTTAGAGTATTAGTTATTAGAATATAATTTTTAGATTCACAATAGTAAACGTGAACTACATACGGGAGTATAAATATGGATTTTTTTAAAAGAAAAAACTATTACCCTATTAGTTAAATGTTGAAAAATAATTTTGTGCTCAATTGTTCCTACCAGAAATAAACACCTGCATTTCATTAAATGGAACAAAATGAAAGCTTTACCTATGACCAAGAGTGAGGGTTTTTTCTTGTTTAATAATAAAAAAAATCCCTAACAGTTTTAACAAGGATTGGGTTTTTAAAGGTGAAAGTTAGTGATTGTAAAGCAAATCACAAGGTTGTTAAATAAATCTAATCAGCGAAAATAGCTGGAAACTGGCAAACTGTAAATCATGATCACATGACTGGAACAGTACAATCAGTTGTAAATGCAATCACGTGATTGCAGGGTGGTGATGCAGTGGAAGTTGCAACTACTAGAGTGAGTTGTTATTAACTTTTTAAAGCCTGTCATAACTTTAAATGATCATTAAATCAAAGATTACCTGTAACAATCTGTAGGAGGAAAAAAATAAACCATACCTCTTGTGGTTCTGTCACCTCTCCTTAAAGTAAAGGTTCCCTTCACACCTATGTGCTAGTTGTTCCCAACTCTAGGGAGTGGTGCACATCTCTGTTTCTAAGCCAAAGAGCCAGCGCTGTCCGAAGACGTCTCCATGGTCATGTGGCTGGCATGACTAAATGCTGAAGGAATGCTGATACCTTCACACCAAGGTGGTCCCTATTTTTCTATTTGCATTTTACATGCTTTCAAATTGCTAGGTTGGCAGAAGCTGGAACAAGTAATGGGAGCTCACTCCATTACGCAGCACTAGGGATTTGAACTGCCAAACTGCTGACCTTTCTGATAGACAAGCTCAGNCACAGCTTATAAGACTACTATCTAAAGCATGTTGTTTGATGGATCCCACTTTGGGAGGAGGTCAAGGATAGGGGAAGGTCTTCAAAAAGCCTCCAATTCACCCCTTCTCCCTCCATTTCTGAGAGCTCAGAGAAGCACTAAGAACAAACAAAACAAAACATTTACAGCCCTCACTTTTTCACATGGGTAAGAATTCTGTCACTGCTGAAACAGAAGAAACTTTTTAAAAAAGGCCCTAATTCCAATGGCGGAGCAGAGGTGGGATGGTGGTCATGAGGCTGAAGAAAAAAGTAATACGCTGCTGTAATTTTCTATGATTGATCTTTAAAAAAAATCTAGAAAATCTAGAAAACACATATTTTATCTAAAAATCATGGAATGAAAAAAAACACCTTTTTGCAACAATTATTTTTTTCAAAAGGGGTTGCTACTGAAAATTCTAAAGTGCATGCCAATTTGAAGTTTGACCCCACATTACACATATTAAAATCTAAAGCCAACATGCACAATTTTTATACATACTATAGAAATTTTGATTATAACTATGGCTTAAATATTTTTAGGGGAAATGTGCTAATTGCAATTCTGAGTTGTGAATACCAGAACATTTCTATTTTTTCCTACAAATATTGAGATAAACAAAACTATATCTCTTTAATTAAAAAGTAAATGACATGTGAATGACTGAAAAAATAGATGTGAAATTTATGTAAGCTCTGTGTGATGTGCAAGTCAACAAGAAACCATACTGTGCTATATTTATATATAAAGAAAAAAGAAGTGATGCTCCTAAAGATCATCTAAAACTAGATAAAAATCCATGAAAGAAAATGCATTAATGGCTTTATTGCTTACCAAGGAGAAAATTAAACCAAGTATTTTAATATTTTTACAGATAACCTTTAAAAAACATATTTACATAGTTCTTAATAATCTCATTTTTCATTCTGGTATTTTTTACTTGTAGAAGCTTTTTAATTTTATAATTACAAAATGTGTAGTTCCTTTAATTATTTTAGTTTTATATACTTAATAGTCCATGAAATTATCTCTATAAATATAGTCAGGACCAAGTATTTACATCCTCAAATCAAATGCAACCAGTCAGATCCAACTTGCTGTATTGCTCTCATCTGCAGATCATATTAATTGAAATTAGTCCCATTGGAAAATCAGTGGAGTTAGTGGCAGATATAATGGTAGGGAAGACTCTCCCCACCCCTCAAACTTAATGGGAAACAGTATTCAACTAACGCTGATAATGATTTAATTAGAAGAGAAAAATGCAACATTAACACCATCTTTATTGTCTTATAATAAGCTACTTACACAAGCTACTGTAATGTAACATGTCAATGCAAAAGGGTATCTTACAAATTGTGATGGAGAGACAGACTTCTTTTTTAAAAAATTGTTACGGTTTCTGTATTCTCTGAAAAGTCAGTGTGTGTCGGCCCTAGAGCAGACTAAGAAACAGATACCATGTGGACCTAAACCTCTTAGGACAGCTATACTGTAGTTAGAGAAGTGTTTCTCTTCCTCCCTCTTTTATCTCCACAGTGCCTGGACTTATGCCTTATTTATCTGATCAATGTCAATTATCTGATCTTTCCTCTGCCCTCCTTTTATTCACTACATTTTGCTTCCAAAGTTTGCTTCAAAAACTTTCTTTCTCTTTTCCTAACCCCACCTCCACTCCCCCGTGCAGGTAGATAACAGCTGGGATGAGAGAAAAGTAAAATGACTTTGGAGGATTTTAAAACTTTCAGGACAGGACTTTCTGAAACACCCCTATACTGTTAAAGTATAAAGCAAGCTATTATGTAGAAATCAATCATCATGTGTTCAACAAACTAAATTTGTTTGAATTTAGAAATTTTGGCTTAACATAGTTATAAATCTTATTTTGTTATGTAAGATTTACTACTTCTGGCTATTTGCAATGTCATCTTAGTTCTACCATTTTTCTATGATATTCACAATGGCACTTTGAAAGTCCCGTAGGTCTCCTTTTAGACTAGATCTAAATATTCTTAACAATGTGTTCTTAGGGCAATTACAAATAGTTCTTGACTTAGGAGCAGACTGTTCAAAATTATGATTGTGCTAGAAAAAGTGAGTTACGATTAATTCTCCCACTTACAACCACCAAAGCATCCTTGCAATTGTGTGATCCAAATTCAGGTGCTTGGCAACTGGCATATATTTACGACAGTTGCAGTTTCCCAAAGTCACATGATCACCATTTGTGATTGTCACAGAGGACTTCCAACAAGCAAAATCAATAGGGGAAGCCAGATTTACTTAACAATCACGTAATTCTATCAAAAACCACACCAAAAAAGTTGTAAAACTGAGCACAATTGTTTTAACAACTGCATTGCTTAGTAAAAGAAGTTCAGGTGCCACTGTGGTTATAAGTTGAGGACTATCACATTTAAAAATATTTACACACATATATTTCCAAAACTGGAAAGGTTTTTGTAACCTTTGTTCTAAGTAAATGTTAGGCAAGCGATTAGATTGTTTAGTACCTGTCAGATTAAATCTGTATCCATGGCTAACCTTATTGTATCAAAGATCAATAACTCCTTTTGCTTATTCTGAAGCTGATTAATTCTTATTTCTGTGTAAAATATAACCCTTTGGGCTGATTATTTTATGCAGCAAGAAAGCAAGAAGAACTAAAATGATGATATACCTTGGTTGTATTTTGGTTTAACCTGAATACTATCAACATGATTAAAAGATGTGGACTTTTACTCTCCTAAATTATACTTTTCTATTAAGCTGACTTTTTAAATGGCTTCTACTGGTCTAAAAAGGGCACTTCAAACTCCTATTGATCAGAATAATAAAATATTATTAAATATTAAATAAAGGAACTGATCTTTTCTAAGATGACATTTAAATGCAAATGACAAATAGATGTATTTCAATCCCGTGTTTAGGAGTAAATGTACATTTAAGATTAAAGCAAGCTAGAGCAAGTTAACTTTATGAACATCTGGAAGATTATTTTTTTGAAGTTCAAGTATAAAACATTCAAATTAGATATGTAGGTAAGAATATTTAATGCAGCAGAGCTACTATTTTAAAATAAAAAAGGTCTACTGTATTTCTTCTGCAGCTAAGGTATTCAAGGCAGAAGTAATGATCAGTTGCTGAATTACTGCCAGATATATTTTACCAGGGTTCTGGCTCATTAAAGATAGCTTAAGCTACATTTTTAGAATATTATTTGCAATTCTTCATATNCAGCACTAGGGATTTGAACTGCCAAACTGCTGACCTTTCTGATAGACAAGCTCAGCGTCTTAGCCACCGAACCACGACATCCCTGATCTCTCCTTACACATCTGCAATATTGTTGAGAGCAACTGTAGTACCACTAGTTCTGCGATCCTTATCCCTCATTCAAAATCTTACATGTACAGTGGTATTTACAACTTGTTCTCCTATACTTAAATTGTTTTTAAGACAATTTTATAAGTTGTTTTAAGATGGTATAATAAGCTTAAGATTCCAAGAGCCAAACAGGTACCATGTTTATCCAGGGGAAAGGACAAAAGACATACCTGTTTCTGATTTGCTCAGAATTGATGAATAAGAGTAATTCTGACTGACGTAATCATTGGAACAGCCAACTGAACCTTCTCTTGGTAGTGGACCTATAAATCTATCAGGATTGTGGTCATCTGATCCACCAGACTCCTCCTAAAACATTGGACACGTTTATTAATGTATGTTTCAAATTTATAATTAACTAATAAAAATAGCCTATTAAAAAAGTCCATGTTCTTACAAGACATTTCACAATAGGAATCCTATCCTTGGCATTACAGGTAGTTTCAGACAAAGAAACAAAAAGGAAATGAGTTACCGAAGCAGATGGGGAACTGAGTATAGAGTGAATCTAAGTTAGGATTGCAAGAAGTGCCTATGTTACTTTTCCTATCTATAGAACTCCTAACACACATTTTGAGAACAAACATTTTGGTATTTTTTAAATAGAGTGATTAAGCTTAAGATTCCAAGAGCCAAACAGGTACCATGAGAGTGCCAACAGAATTACACATTCTTGGTCTAGCTCTTTAGATTCTGCCTAAAATGCAGTAAATAGCTAAAGTGTGCAGAAACATTGAAATTCTTGAATATCCCAACCCTAGGAACTTGTGTTTTAAGATCTGTTTTGTTTCTTAGAAAAGATTTACTTGGTGGCTATGAAAATCAAAGATAAGCATTAGAACATTCAGAAAAAAAAGAAAAAAAATCATAACATGTGATAAGACACAGAAGCAGCAAATTAATATGTCGTTACCAATACCACTTGAGGTTGTTCTCCATCTTTATCCGTCAAATGCAGAAAATTCTTTTTTCCAGGCTCAAAACCAGCATCAACAACAGATTTATCACTCAAATGATCCAGTGGTGTCTATAGTAAACAAAATAAAATTGTTTATTCATTAGAATTGTTATTATACATTTCCAAATTCAGGCATAAGAGCAATAGCTGCATATTTCTTTAACTATAGAAATAATATAAATACACTGAAATATCACTGTCAATTAACAAATTTTCTTTATGTTGAGCATAAATCAGATAACAAATATTTTTCTAAAAAAAAGATTTACCATATTTCTCAAGATTCTGACAAAGTTTAATACCTTAAACATTTATTACAACATATTTTTGCTTGCCATTTAATTTACAATGATTATTTAATAAATATCCTAATTACCTAAATAGCAACATACTGGAAATTAAATGCTAAAAATAAAATTAACAGTATTAAAAGTGCAGTATATGCAAGACCTTTAATGAGAAGGTAAAAGAATAAAACTACAGGTCAGAGCATTTAACTCATTGATTTCTAATTTTTATGCTTTAAATATGAACATTGATCTTATTAAAAGCAAAAAGATAAAAATAAATAAATAAATAATCCATTCCATTCTTATCAGTTCATAAAAGATGTTACAGGCTTTATACCATAGATAAGATAGACTGACTCAGAATATGCAACGCATGAATTTAAGAAGATAACTGGCAGAAACATTTAAAAAGATATATATTTTCAGTAGAGTTTACCAGCTGTTTTTAATGTCTTGATTTAAAAAAAAATCTAACAAACACCACTGTTTGTTCCTTCACCCAAAACTACTACAGGATTATTAAACTTTAGTTGTGTTTATGCCCACATTAATGCAATACTTTTAAGATAATCAGAAAAAATTTAGTCAGCTGTTGTCATCTTCAGAAAAGAGTGAGAAAGTAAAAATAAATTAAAGAAATAATTGAAATAGATAAATATTTTATCTGTTATTTTTATACATTATTTTATGAAAAATTGCATTAAAATATTATTCTATATCACATCCAACCAGAGAAAATAAAAGGCAGTCTTGAACAAAAAAGTATTATTAAGGCAAAACAAATGCCAATATGAGAAATACCATGAAAATGAACAAAAAAATTGCACATCAGCCATTTAAAAGTATTCTATTAAAATGCCTAAAATTAGTAGATATTTGCTTTTACCGTATTAGCAACATTGACTCCATTTCCCCAAATTAAATCAAATGTTCCAACAACATAGCCCACTTTGGAGGCTACATCTTCAAATAGTTTTTTTAATGGTGTGGAAGCTGGTAAATTCAATGTGATGCGCTCATTCACTCTCTTAGCATTGGTAGTATCTTGTATTATACAAAGCACTCTAAGTTCATCAGCAGCATTTTCAATCTGAAATGAAAGGAACAAATAGATTATAAAAGTATGTTCTATTTTAGAAAGTTGAATGAAAATGTAAATGCAGCTTTTTCCACACACAGAATTAGTATAAGGGGTGCAGGTACAAATATATTAAGAAGACACAAACCAGAAATCAATGCTGAACAAAGTACAGAGTCATGCCTGCTGGCACGAAGATCCAAACAAAAACTGAGTTCATGACTATGACATGTTCAAATGTAGCACAGACATTCTATATTAAAACACCAAGCTGGATTAAGCTTCTAATTCAAGGAAAGATATTGCATAATTTCCAAAACCATAGTAGTGACGGTGGAAAATATTTTGTAATTGCTATTCCCATGTTCTAAACAACTGTTTTGTGGCTTTGTTAAACCAATTACTTATTCAAATTAATTGTTTTAATGCAATGAAAGTTTTTTAGATTTTTGTTAGATTTAGATTAGCAACTGCATTTATATTTTATAATAGTTTAAAAAATACAACCATCCTGACTCACTTTTTTAGCGTAACCACATTCTGAAATAGTGTAAATGAACAAGAGTCGTAAGCTGCTCATGTTGTTGTCTAAGCAAGTCTAAGCGATATCAAAACTTACCAGTATTACAAATATTCTAACGTAAACCAGGCCTGCAGTTTAAGATAACCTAAACACAGCTAGATTTGCTAGCTAATTACAGTCCATTCACAGGCATATTTTTTTTATTATGATCTGGTTCTGCAGCCTATCTAGAACTGACAGTATTATGGACTGTGGGTCAAAACTTTACAAGCCTTATTTTACCTCTTAATAGGCTCTAGAGATAAAATTAACAACAATTTTTCTCTCACTTCTAAACCTTTAATTTTGTGAATATTTCTTGTAGTTATTATTTATTCCACAACCAAGAGAAAAGGGGAAAAAATGATGAAAGACAACTAGGATTGGTATTCCTTGTTAAATATATTTTATACAAATTCAAAGAAGTAATGTTATTGATGGTTAATAGATTAGGTCCATATTTTTTAAAAAAATATCACCAAATTTACAAAAATGACGTCTTGATCTAAATTAACCAATTTACCAATTACGGAGTCTCTTTTCAATTAGTTGAATAAAATTTAAAATAGAAGTAAAAATTGGTTGAAAAATTTTATAAGGGCCAGGAATTACAATAATTATTGTTTCCAATTTAGGAAGTGAAAAACCATTCATCAAGTGATTATATACTCTATATATTAATAGTATTGTACTAACAATGTATTAAAGCTTTATCTAAAAGGTCTCCACTCCATCTATCTCCCAATGAGTGGGGACATGCAGCTTGCCCTTTCTGCTGACTGTATTAGGTAGGCATATTCTATATGGATAAATGTCTCAAAAATACCCAAGATTCAAATCATATAAAGTTTTATAGATAATATCCAATGTGTTGAGTTGTACCTGCCAACAAAGTGACAGCCATAAAGTTGCTAAAATAATATAATCTAGTCGTAATGGGTCTCACCTTCAAGCAGGCAGATGCATTTTATACCACATTTAAGTTTTTAAGACCGTTCATGTAGAAGGAATTGCAAAAATGCAACCAACAGATAACAAGAGCCTAAGTGAACATACCTAATTCATCTCATTCCAAGATTAGTGCAGCTCTTGGCCACAACTTCCACCTGCCACTGTAGCAGGAGCTACAAGATGAGAAGAAGGGGAGGAGAAACCTTAGGCTGCAATGGACACTGATTTCCCTCCCCCTGCAGGAGCTGATTTGCAATATGGGTGAACTGTGCTGGGATGAGAAAGCATCTCAACCAGCTGCCATTCCATCTCACTGGAATGAGGTTTTTCCACATCTAGTCTTTGAAGCCTCTAAACCAACCAATCAACATTTTTACCCAGAAAGATATAGAAGATAATCTACATTTTGATACCTTACATATGGTAATGGACGACCTCTTCCATAAACTTCATGCAGAAGTCAATATAAGGGAGGGGGTGGAACTAGGAGCCCATCATAATGAAATGGCCAATGATTTCATCTCTCATTCCATCTTACCTCCTGCAAAACTGCTCAGTAACCAAGGTGTACAACTCTGCAGAAAAGCACTTCTAACCCCTAACCAACGCTGACAACTCAGGAAACTAGCAATTTTCCACCCATGCTCATAGCCTAAATGGATCTAAGTACTTTGCATCTATGTCATTCTGAAGAAAGAAGATCACTGTCTTTAATACCTTTTCTAAAAAGGAAAGATCAATCAGAAATTGTTCAAGATGAGTGGATGGAGTGGAAGCCTCTTAAGAAAGGAGTATCCCACTGTCTCTTTGAAGAATGTTCCATTTGAGAGACATTGACCCTTTCTTGAATCCATCTTCTTGTGTCTTCTTTGGTTGAGCTAGCACAGGCAAGTATCCAATTCACTCGAGCTAGGGTATCCCACTGAGGACCCTATCCATTTAATCAATACCCAGATTGTTAAAGCTGCTGGGCAGTAGCCTGCAGATGTAATAAGGATTGAGTAATAACAATGTTCTTCTGCCCTAACCCCACTGTGTAGGCACAAATCTGGATTTATTTCATGTTCATTTGCATTTGTTCTTTTTCTCTGGCACCATCATTTTAGGCATTTATTTTGTTGTTTCATATCTAGGAACCATTCATCTGATCAAGGACAAACCCAAGATCAATGAATGCAGAGACCATTGGGAGGCAATGTTATTCAGTGGATGACTAGGTACATAATCAAGCTGTTCACTAAATCACTAGATAATTCCCTAAGCCTTCTTGGAAATTTCAAAGAATTTATAAGAACCACTTTAAAAGTCCTTTTTACTTGCAGAGATGAAGGTTGCTTACAATAAAAATGCTACAGGAAAGTAGAAAGTGAGAAACCAAAAGGCAAGACATCATATTTTTAGACCTTACAGAACTAAGCAAGTGTACTTCTAAGTCAAATAATTTATCTTCACATTTAAGCTGGGCTTAAAAATGAAAAAAAATTAACTGAGACTTAACATTCCTATGCCTTTCTTAAAAAAAGTAACATCATCTAGAAAAAAACCATTTTTGCATGAAATTGCATGTTGTTTTATAATGATCAAGTAAAAGGATACAAGGTTCTCTCTGAGAGTCTAATAATGCTACTCATGTAATTAGATTATTAACAAAATGGTCAGTTTGAAAACAAAGATATTGATACATACAGAGACTTGCTTCACTTAAAAAAAATGGTACTCTCTCCTAGGCCCCTTTCTATTTTGTTCTTTCTGCTTAGGAAAGGCCACATTGCAAGTAAGATGAAACTGAATTATATAAAAAACAAGATGGAATTAAAAATTAAAACATGTATTTATTAAAAATTGATCATATGGGTTACCTTTTAGAATGGGCAATTTCAGTATTATGTTCATTGTCATACTTAGCTTTTTTCTAATTTGAAATACTATGCTATGACACATTAAAGCTATTAACTCTTCAGTAACAGCATCTCATTACAAATAGTCTTTGTTTAGTTCAGTTATGATGGTGATGAAAAAGTAACATTTACAACTCTATGAAGCAAAGTTGAAATGAGATTATAAGCAGTCGCAATTTCACTTAGCAACCACTTTACTTAACGAAAGACTTGCTACTCCCAGTTGTGATTGTTAAATGAGGACTATCTTTAAAATATTCCAACCATTTAAAAAAATACTGAAATATAAGTGTAAGCACTGTAACTTTTGGGAAAAGTTGAAATAAAACACACAAGGTACTTTCATCAACTATTTCATACTTCACATTTGTCAGTTAACTAAAATACAACGTAATATAAAAAACAAAACAAGCTGTTTTGACTAGACTTCCAAAAACGGTATTAGAGCAGTACATTTCATAAATTAATTGAAAAAGGTGGGCAATTTTTAAATTACCCAAATACTTCATGTTAGTATATGTTTTTAAATTATAAGTTTCAAAGTTGAAGTCATGCAAATTATCCTTTATTAGAATTTTCAAAACCATGCTTTTGATTTTTGTAGATATTAAAATGAAGGCTTAGAGCAGTGGTTCTCAACCTTCCCAATGCCGCGACCCTTTAATATAGTTCCTCATGTTGTGATGACCCCCAACCATAAAATTATTTTCGTTGCTACTTCATAAGTGTAATTTTGCAATTTTCTGATGGTCTTAGGCGACCCCTGTGAAAGGGTCATTTGACCCCCAAAGGGGTCACAACCCACAGGTTGAGAACCGCTAAGAGTTTCATATAAAATACCAAATCATCTTCCACTCTTAGAAATATATTTAAAATTAGTACCCTAATGCAATTGCAAACCATTTTATTTACTTGTGCACAGTGCTAATTTCATGCTATCAAAACTGAACTGTTTTAAACATTCACTTCATCTAACTACCTGTGAAAATTTCTTCTTCATTTCATCAAATATATTCTGTCTGCATCTCCAAAGCATATCCTAAGATATATAAACACAAAATAGTAAGATTATGCTATCAAATATTTAATTAAAAATTAAAGAAGCCAACTTTTAGTCAATGTAAAATTCATTTTCTCACACAAATGAATATTTAATATGTATAAAAAAAGAAGAAGAATGGTTTAATTGTACAAAAAAGTACATGGGAGTATAATATGGAACTAAAAGGCTAAAGACGTAAAACAAATTATCGTATTTTTCAGAGTATAAGATGCACTAGAGTATAAGATGCACTAGAGTATAAGACACACCAAGTTTTTGAAGAGGTAAATTTTTTAAAAATGTTTTTGCACACCGCAGACCTCCCTAACCTTCTGCACGCCTTGTTTTTGGGGCATGCAGAGAGTTTGAGAGTCCTGCAAAGTGCTCCTGGGGGCTGGGGGGGGGGCCCACAAATGAGCAAAAAGCGGGCCCATTTTTTTCAAAAAACCCGGCATGCATAATAGGCTTTCGGAAGCTTATAGAGTGCTCCTGGGGGCTGGGGAGGGCAAAAACTAGCAAAAAAACTGCTTGCTTTTCACTTGTTTTTGCCCTCCCCAGC